CTTTCTGTGCATGCAAACAACAAACAAAACCGATGGGGGCGAAGGAGATGGCGGAGAGAAGAGCGAGGGAGAGGCGAGATGTACTTTGGCACTCAATTGAGCGGCCATTAGCAATAATACCAACAACAATGAGCACACAGTACAGCCAAGACAATTTCAAGATTACAACAATAACAACAGCAACACAAATGACAATAGAATATGAAGTGTCTTTGCCTCTATTCTCCATCCCGTTCTGGCCAACGGCAAATGGCCCCAATGCGCACGCCTGCCTGGCTCGCTCGCTCTCCCGTTCTCCTCGCTCACCTCCCCACCTCCATCTCCATCACTCCCCTCCCCCCATGGAGCTAAGCCAGGCAAGAGCGAGAGAGGTGGAGAGCTGGAGAGTGGGGGCCGCCAGGCAATTGCGTTGGTGTGGGCGAGATAGCGAGGCGACGACAAAGGCGAGAGAGCGCGGCGAATATCCCACACAGGCACACTCACATTTGTGTGCATGTTTTTTTATTTGTATTTTTTACAACTGCACGATAAGAGGACAGCCAGCAACAACAATAATACCAATAATAATAATAATAAGCAGCCAGTAGCACTGCACGCAAATAACTTTATTTATACTTTATTTTTTGCGCGGCGGGGGAAACAAAGAAATGAAGAACAATTAAATTTCAGTAAATTGCTATGTGGAAAACGCAATATTTTCGATGTTTTTCTTAATATTTATGTTTCTTTGATATTGTACATAATACCAATTTAGTACTTTTAAAATTTTTCAATCTTATAATACAAGTATACAATCTGAGCCATAATTATTCTTTTTTTATACGACCCTTTTCATTTTGAGTTGAAAACCAAATCGTTTTTGAAATGTTTCGGGGTTGCGATCCCTAATTTCAACCCCCATCGACTAATAAACTCTTGACGAACCGAACCGAACTGAGGATCCCCTTCTTTTTCTTCATCTTCCTTTGCTTCTCCTTTCCCCGTCCCCATCTTCCCTCTCGCTCCCACCAAGGGCATCTCAAGGGTCAGCCAGTCAATATGCCGACAATGTGTTCTTGTTCTTGTTGTTGCCCCGGCCTCATGTCCTCATCCGTTTCATGAGTTTAAGTGCCCCGTCGAGTAGTGAGTTTAGATGAGGTGCCCACTTTAGCCTTTTCATAGCCAAGTTCTAGAATGAATTGCTAGAATTCGACACCACAGCAGGTTTATTTTTTTGAGAAAACATTATTTTCGGAATATATGTACGTACAAATTCTTCAAAAGCATAAAATACATGAACAGGTGTATTTTTAGCTACTTTTATAAAGCCAAATTAATAAACCTCTTAGGGAAACATTAAATAACAACTTTAATTTATTCTGTTTATCTATTTCATTAGCCTCAAGATATTACAAGTACATATATGTTTTAAGTAGTTTTCAATATATTTTGGGGCTGGCAACACTATCGCTGCGCTTGCATTGTGCGTCAGTGTGGGTGAGTGCGAGGGAGAGCGAAAGAGTGAGAGGTACGGGGGGACTTGAGCCTGGGATTTTGATGGGATGGGTATGGTTATACGCGGTATTGGACCTGGACTTTGGGGATGGGGCTGCATATTAATCGAGTCGAGTCGGATCGAATCGAAATGAAATGACGTTCGGCGGAGTTGAGGGTTAACGAAGGAGAATAGGAGGAGGGGGAGAAAAGGAGGAGGAGAGTGAGGATTGAAGATTGAAGAGTTGCCTTTTTTTAGGTAGGTAGCGGTGGTCGCTCTTCCTCTCCTCCTCCTTGTACTCCTCCTCCTCCTTCTTCTCCTCCCCCGCCACTCGGATTCTTCTTCTTGCAGCAATGGCGTCGGGACAAACACACACAGAGGAGGAAAAAAAACACAGATCAAAATAAAACGACGACGTTGTTGTTATCGCCTTGGCAGGAAATGGAATTATATTCGTAAAAAGTAGTCGCCGTTTGTCGCTTGTAAGTGTAAGTGAGCCTCTCAGCAGGAGAGGGAAGCGTGGAGAGGGGAGGGGGTAGGGGACAGTCAAGGGGAGGGGGCGGGGGAAGGGAATGGAGAAGGTAAGGCAAAGAGTGGAGGTGGAGGAGTTTGTTGAAACGTAATACCGCTGATTACGTACGAGGATTTCGATATAACAAACTAAGCACATTTTACACATTTTACTTTTCAGCCTGAAAACAGAGAAGCAAAAAAAAAAGAAAAGAGACGGGCCAAACAACTGCAACTACAGTGGGCCCTACATTACTGTAACTTGATTGCCAAAGCTTTATTTGTTTTTATATTGTACAGCGAATTAAACTACTATTTTTCTGTGTTTTGCTATAAAAAAAAGTTAAAAAAATAGCTGCAATTTTCCTTAATATATCAAAGTACAAATATAAAAAAAGATTTCCGTCATGCTATTCCACTGTACCGAGCGTGGAGTGCAAACTGCACATAATGCACACATGGTAATATGTATACATTTCATAATAAAATCAAGAAGAAGCCAAGAAAAACGAGAAATTAAAAGTTATGCGAAAAAATGAATTTTAAACTTGGCGCTCCCTTCCCTCCTCTTTCGGGCCACTATTCTCCCTTCTCCTCCCCTAACCCCACCACACTCCATATTTCAACCGACCAAAGTGGCGCAAGCAATGTAAAGAAAGCCGAAAATGTTTTTTTTATAAATCCAAAAGCACTAAGATTGCGAAACTTTTGTCGCCTGAAAAATGAGGAAACAAAAAACTAATTTTTTTTTGTTTTTGCGATGATATGAATTTGCCTTTCCAAATCTTTTGCCTGCGTACACGACAGAAGAGCAGCAATATAAAATTTTCCAAACCTAAATAAAAGTTTCCGTTTTGGAATTCATTTCTGAATTTTTAAATGTGTAAGTAGGTTATGACAACCGAAAATAGAGTTCAAGTCTCAGCAATTTTAATATTTTAGATCGCCAAACTTAGTAACTTATACCTCCTATACCTTAGGTATTAGGTAGGTAATTTACATAACAAATTGAAATGGTAGCTGGATCTAATGAACTTTTTTTTGGCTTGCACAACGAGTGCGACCATTTTGTCGCCTGCAAAAAGTTGCGCTGCTGCAGCAAAAGTTTTTATGTGTGTGTGTTGCGCCCTTTCGCTTTCGGCAGCAATTTGTTGTTGCCTTTGTATCTGTCGAAAAGCAAAAACAAAAAGCGCTGCGTAATGACAAAACAAAAAAAAAACATCGAAATGAGTTTTCCATGCGAATAATCGCTGCTGCCTGTCGATAATCGATAACACGGCGGCAAAAGCAAAGTTCATTCAACAAGCATTTGCAACTTTATCGGACGTCAACCTGCCTTGGCCCTATTCGTTGTTGTTGCTGCTTGTTTTTCTCCTTGCCCTCTTGTTTTTTCCCCCTTATTTTGTGGTTCTACTTGACCCTTTGGCTTTGCATTTTAGTTTACGCAAATTGGCGAAAGGAAGAACAAGAAAATCAAAACAAAAAAATGCTCTCTCTTTCCCCTGTGAGCTCCACCTCCTCCTCCTCCGCCACCCACTCTCTTTCTTCTTTCTCTTTCGCTCAAACTTTGCACGTAATCGCAGCAGCAGCAGAAAAAACCTGGCTCATTTGAGAGCAACTTCCAATGCGGACACAAAACCAAAAAAAAGAAAGAAATATAAATGAAATAATATAAATAATACAACAGAAATCACTAAAAACACAAAAAATCCAGCCCAAGCAAACCCGGAACTTGAGTTAATCGAATTTGTTGTCGATCAACAGCTGCTCTGCCGACGTCGCTGCCAATAACACGCACACCAGCCAACACATTTGTTATGTATTTTGTGTATATATGTATGTATGTACGAACAGTAAATGATCACGAGTGGTGTTATTGGTGTTGTTGCTTTTAATGATGCTGCTGCGATGACGCCAATTGTAACAAATAAATGTGACGTTGGAGAGGGGGGTGTGGGAAAGAGAGGGGGCCGAGCGGAGAGTGAAGGATGCCCCGCCCCCTTCGCCAATACACTTATCAAAAATCCTTATCAGACAATTATTTAGTCCACTTTACAGTCAGTCGTTACTTCGCTTCTTCTTTTTCATTTTCGATTTCGATTTTGTTGCTGTGAGTTGACAAACCGAAATAATAATTATGAATCAGCTTTAATAATGGGGAATAACAAACAGCCAATGCAAGTGTAACGAAACGGAAATATAACGAAATGAGAAATGGAAAACAAGTTATCGAAATTAAGCAAACGCTGCACAAATTGCTTTTAACGACACACGAAAACAAAACGGCGAAACGCAAAATGCAACTCCGAAAATAAATAAACCCAAAAACAAAAGAACATGTGGTTTAGGCATGTTTCAAGTTGTCGACCTAAAAATATTTAAAGTGTTTTTCAAGAGACAAAAATTGATCACTTCAAATAGGACTGCCCTAAGATCTTGGGTTTTTTGTAAAATCTAAAATGCATTTATCATATTTTTCCACTTATAGTTGGATAGTTTTGGCTGTGGTTCCGTTTTATTAAACACACTTGACTATCTTTTTTATAAAAATTCGAATTTGAATAAAATATTTATGTTGAAATCAAGTTATTAACTATTTCAACCAAAAAACTAAAGATTTATATCCATATCTCTTTAGTTTAAAAATTATTTATAACTGTCTTAATTAAAAATTAATTATTTTTATATAAATCCTGTTAATTTCAGTTTTTCTTTCTTTTTAGCCAAAAATTTAGTTTTCTTCCTTTCCCTAGAAACCTAAATACGATTCCCTTTAATAAACCTTTCTCAGGATTGGAAGAACAGAATTTGGGGAAAATAAAATGAGAAATATCAAAAACGATCCCTGGTGGAGAAAAAATTCAAATTCATTTCCCAAGGAACTCATTACAAAGGGTTATTAAAAAAACACACATTAGGTTCCGCCTAAGAATGTTCAATATTAGGTTTTTCAAAAGTTAAATTACCCCCAGGAGAAGCAAAAAAAAATAAATAGCAAATTCTAAGAAAAACTTACCGCTTGGAATATGTCGCTGCACTCGAAAAAATGCGAATTAGCCACCGTCGTGGATTTCTGCACTACAGTAGCAGACATTTTGTGGTTCTCGTTTAACAGATATTGAATTTGATTCCGCCGTTGTTGTTGTTATTGTTGTTGGTGTTGCTTTTCTATTTTCCACTGGACAAGACTGAAAAAATATGCGATTTTTTCGGTTTGTTTTTGCTATATTTCTTTTTATTTTCTTTGCTTTTTTTGTTTGATTTGTATTTGCTTTGCACTTGAATGTTGAGTTATGTGTGTTGTTGTTGTTATTGGTTCCGCGAATATTGCATTGCAACAATAAAAAAAATCAGCTAAAAGAGTGAAGAGAGCGTGTGATTAGCAGCGAACGATGGAAGAGAGAGGGAGAACGAAGAGCGGCGAGAGGGAGCAGAAATTACACGTGCTTGGCGTACGAGCGTTTAGGTGCGTGTGTGTGTGTCTGTCTAGGACATTTTTCACGCACATGTGTAAGTCGTTTTTGCTTTGCTTTGTTCCTTTTTCCCTTATTTTTTTTAGATCTTTTTCTTTTTTTTTTGAAACGGCAACAGCCGATGTCTGTTTCACGCATGTGTGTTTGTCTTGTTTGCTTTGCTTTTATCGTCGTCTTCGTTCGCGTTCTCGAAAAGCGGAGATAAGCTTCGTCCCTTTCCCTTCCTGCCCCCTCCCCCTCCCTCTCGCCCTCTTTGTTTGCCCGTGTGTTCTGCGTGTGTGTGTGCGATCTCTAGTGGTGGTCGTATCTCAAATGCGTCTGTGTGTTTGTAATTTGTATTTTATTGCTGCGCCAGCAAACTCAAAAACAACAAAAACAAAAAAATAAATTAAAAAGGGCAGCGATTGCGCTGTTGCTTTTGGCCTGTTGCTTCGCTCGCTCCTGCTGCTTCTTCTTCTTCTACTGGAGGTCCTTGCAACTGCACACATGCGCACGTGAAGTGTTTGCTTATTTGAACATGTCGGTCTTTCGGAAATTCCCGTTTTACTATTGTTTCTACTTAACACCTTTAAAAAAATGGGCAAAAAATATTTGTTACTGGAAAAACAAAGTAAAATCAAAGTTTAAGTTTTCCGGCACTTTAAAAAAAAAAACACCTCCACTCGATCGATCGCACAATCACATTCAAAGCACAGGGAAAAACACAATTTGAATGGGCTCGCTAATTACTTTGGGTACGGGCGCAGAGGTCCTGTCGCTCCTCGCTCGTTCGCAAAAAACACAACAAAAGAGACGCAGCACGTCCGTGAGACACAACCAACCAGATCGAAATCAAAACTTGCACTCAGTGTTGCCAGGCGAAAATGTTGCCTTCCGCCTAAAAAATCTCAAACGCCGATACTTTCGCCCTAAAAAATCCAGCGAACTCTTAGACGATACTCTTTCTCTTTGTGAAACTCTTTCCGTTTTCTTACGCTCTTACGCTCGCTCTGCCTCTCTCGCTCTCGTTACGTTTTGATTGCCAGCGGAAAAGTATTGAAAAACTCAGCCGATCTTAGTTGATTTGTATTTTTTGTAATATTCTAGTGATTTTTCGAAACTTTTGTGTAATAAAATTTCCGAAAAAGAGTCCTAAATTTTACCTCTAAAAATGTCTCCCCCCTAAAAATCCGCATAGCACGTCAAAAAACCCCTATATTTCGGGGAAAACCCCTGTTGTCTGCCGGTGTGACCAGACTGCGGCGGCCCCGAAATAGAGGCAGCGAATCATCGATGGCGACTATCGGCGTGTGCACATCACTAAAATGTTAAGAGCAGCGTATTTTGAATAGAAATGTTAAGCTATTTTGCACTAACTAAAATATAAGACAAATGTATTATTAAATATTAATGGGAAACAAAATTATTTTATCCAATATAAATTTACTCCGCACAAAGACAATTTGGGCGCTCTTTCAAAATGCTTATTTAGTTAATACCAAATAAAAAACATTTAGATTTAAAACTTGGGCAAATAAAATAAAATTAGTTTAGAACTTTCCCGTTTTAATTTTCGAATTTGTACAACAAAAAACAGGTACAATTTTGATCGAGATTTTTTGGCGCGAAAATGTAAAGAATTTGAATAATAGGAAAGCAATTCCAAGACAAATCATGACCCCATACCACTTTTGGTATAACTGCATAATTATTTTTAATATTCGAATATTTTCTTGTTGAAATGTTAATTTGAAACAAAACCAATTAAGGCATTCTAAATATTTATAGAATAAATAAATGTGACAAAAATTAACTTCATTGTAACTAAGAAAGAATTTAAAGGTTGACAACGATTATTTTAAAACTATAAATTGATGGTAATTTTATATGTTTGGGGTAGTAATTTACAGTATTGGGCGGAGGAAAAGCCCGGATTTTGTCGACCTGTGTTATGGGATATTGTTTACTAGCAATGTATTAGTAGCTATTAAGTCACAAGTGGACTTGTTCTTATCAGCACTGCAATTGGTTCTCCAATCAGCGCCTTCTGCTGAAAAACGGGTTGCCGATTGGGATGGGTCAGTGGTGCAGTGAACATCCCACCGCAGTTAATAAATAAAATAAAAGACAGAAATCGCAAACAGACAGGCGGCGTACGTGTCGTTAGTCAACAATGACGAATAAGCAAAGAAATGGAGAGGGCCTAATAAATACATATATTTCACAAGCGGTTTGCAAAAGACGTCAGCCAAGTTTGTCTTAGCTCCCTAAAATACCATCTGAAAAAAACAAATAAATCAGTTAATTTGTGTTTCGCAAGAAAATAGTAACTGAAACACCTTGAGACCTTTGGGAGTGTAAACCGGTTTCCAATAAGATTTCAAGAGGTTTTCCTGATGCATCTAATCAGAATTTAAATCTAACCCTATACATCAAAAAATTATATTTTAAGAACCTTAATATCTAATTACCAGACAGATTTTTAGGTTTTATGCTGGTAGCCTAATAAAATAGTCTAATTTTTAAACATTTGTGCCTAAAACCATCGTACCCAATAGATTTTCTTCAATATAGCACAGCTAAAACAAATTGTAAGTCATAAGTCACGTTCTAGTTTTCATAACTTAACTTGTATTATCGGACACCAAAGGTGCTTATTTATACGTGCGACTTTAAGATCTGAAACCCCAGTATGAAATTCCACTTAATATATTTTGATTATATTAAATACACGAATATTCAACTGAAACTATTCTCAAGCCAATACAAAAAAAATGTAAATAAAACGTATCAATTCAAAACATCGAGTTTTTTTTTTAATTTTATAGTTTAATAAAAAAACCTAATTATATGCTACATCATTGAAAAGGGATTAGAAATCATAAAGCCTAAACTTTGATAAACAAGGCAAAGTATTTGATAAGTAAATACATTTTCTCTCCCTTTTCGTTCGCCCCATCTCTGTCTAATGCAGATGTGAACAGCTTGGAGTCGAAATTTAATTTCAACATATTTATTGATGTAATTCAAAAATTAAATATAAGTTATGTTTATAATTATTACTGCTTACTATGCAAAATTACTTTGCAGTTTTGCGTTCTGTTGTTTGTTTTTTTTTTTGTTTCCTTCATTATAATTATTATTATTATTTGTTTGTTTTACTCGCGTTGCTGGTTGTATTTTATTACTTTCCCCCATCTCAGTTGGCTTTGCTTGGTTGTTTCTCCTCCTCCTTCTCTTTCTCCTCTTTCTCCTCCACTATTCTGCATAAATTTTTTTGTTTGCTTTTCTCAGTGTATTTTATGAATTTTTTTATTGTTTATTCTCGTTTTTGTTTCTTATTTATTCCACTTTAATTAGTTATTGAGTTTTGCTTCGCTCGATTCATAATTAAGCATTGGATTCGATTTGACGTGAATCAAATGGGATATATGCATACATATATTGTGTTTATTCGCTTATATATATACATATACATATATATAGGTTTAGTTTTCCTCAGCATTACTTCTCCTTGCTCCTTCAACATTACCATTATTATTATTTCTTGTAATTTATTAGGCTAAGTGTTGATTTCTTTTTGTTTTTTGTTTTTCTTTTAATTTTTTGTTTTTTTTCATTTTGGGCAATGATGTTTGCTTGTTTTGAGTGGGTTTATGAGAGTGGGTGTTTTGTGTTTGTGGGTGAGTGTGATTGTGAGTGTGAGTTTGGGTTGCGAATTGATTTGAATCGAATTGATTTGTAACAATTTGTGTGTGTTGCTATCGATCGCAGTGATTCACTTGTGAATCACATTTGCTGGGGTATCATTTTTGTATATTATTATTATGTGTTGTTTGCTTCTGCCTTGCTGTTTGTTGTTTGCTGTTTCTTGTTCCTTATTTGTTTAGTATTGAATTTAAATTAATATTAAGAAACATCCTAACGCCCGCTGCCAACGTTGTTCAATCCTCCGGCTTTTGCAGAGGCTGTTTCCTCCTCTTTGCTCCTTTCTCCTTGCTCCTTGCCAGGCTCAGGCCTTCCGCCCACATCCGCATCCTCCTCCGCCCTCCTCCTCTTCGTCTTCGTCTGCAACCTCGCCGCCAAGCTGATCCCCAGCCTTTAGTCCGCGATCAGGGGCTTGCCGTTCTGCTTCTCCTTGTCCTTGTCCAATTGCTCCAAGAGTATAGCTGGATTGGGCTGACCCTGGTGGGTCTTCTGCTTCAGCATTGTCCAGTCGTAGATGTAGTCATACTGATGGTTCAGCGTCCTGAACAGTATGCTGTATGGCGGATTGTAGAGGAAAGAGAGAAAGTTCGGATTAGTCTACCATTAGATCATCGAGCTGCGAAAGCCTATGACTAAAGTGGAATCCCAATGTGAATGTCACCATAAATACAAGTATTACTAAGAGATATTCTAAACTAAATAATTAAATCGAATATGTGAAATTATAGTTTTTAGAAATAATTATCAACAGTAACGGAAAGACTGATAATAAAATAGCTAATAATTAAAAGAAGATTAAGTTAAGTTTTCCCCAAATATGTTAACATTTTTTCTAAAATTGCAGTTTTTTTTATAAACTTGTAGCAATAGGATGTTTTCATTAAATGAAAATAAAAAAAAATCCTCCAAATCAAAAGGGAATTATTTTTTGAACATAAATACAAATAAAATAAATAAAAATGAAAATGAAATGTGTATAAACTAGTATAAACACAAAATATGAGATATTACTTCAGTGGGTTACAAACACCTAACCAAAATGGAAAAACCGCCTTGCATGGGATTACAAACCTTATCACTAAATATTTGTAAGTAACTCTGGGTAATTTCAGTGATTATCAATTGTACTTAATTTAGCTCCTTTAGCTTATTTAAATTACGGATAAGAGTGCCCCAAAATGTAGCATATAAATATTCAAAATAAATCTTGATTTAAATTGAATTAATAAGACAGTACAATCTAACATTCTTAGCCTGATCATTAAGACATTAGATAAAATGAAAAATACCGATCCCCATCCCAATACTTAGCACTCACCGGAACAATTGACGTAGGTACATGTAGTCCGGCTGCTCCTCGAAGCGCAGACTACGACAATAGTTCAGATACATGGAGAACTCGGCCGGCGAGCCCTTGCAGAGGACCTCGATGGGCGTGGACATCTTCTTCTCGGAGATCTTCTCGTACTTCTGCTGCTTGGTGTTGGCCTTCATGCCCTGCCAGGGCAGGACGCCGCGATTGAAGTACATCATCACGTAGCCGAGGGACTCCATGTCGTCGCGACGGGACTGCTCGATGCCCAAATGGGCGTTGATCGACGCGTAGCGGGCCGTGCCGGTGAGGTTCTTGTCCTCGCGGTACAAAATGTGATGGCGCGTGTGCGGATCGCGGAACTTCTTGGCCAGCCCGAAGTCGATCAGGAAGAGCTTGTTGCAGTGCCGTCCGATGCCCATGAGGAAGTTGTCCGGCTTGATGTCGCGATGTATGAAGCACTTGAGATGGATGTACTCCAGGCGCCCGATCATCTGGTCGACCAGCATCAGCACCGTTTTGATGGTGAAGTGGCGCGTGCAGAAGTTGAACAGGTCCTCCAGCGAGGGTCCCAGCAGGTCCATGACCAGGGTGTTGAAGTTCTTCTCCTTGCCATGGTGGCGGATGCGGGGGAATCCCACCCCGCCGCTGAGGATCCTGTACAGCTTGGCCTCGTACAGCAGCTGCGGATGGCGGGCGTGGGCGCTCTCCATCTTGATGGCCACCTCCTCGCCGCTCTGGATGCTCATGCCCAGGTAAATGTCGCCAAAGGAGCCGCTTCCTGTGGGGTTTTATTTATTTTAATTTAAAAAAACAAATCTCTTTGGCTTAGTTTACTCACCTATCTTTCTGATCACCCGATATTTGCCACCGACGATTATCTCGGGGCGACTTTCCTTCAATATCCTCATCTTGTCCATCCTGGCTAGCTGCTCCTCCACCTAGGGGCTTCTCCTCAAAAGCAGTTGTGTGGGCTCTATTGAAATACTGCAGATTCGCAGGGCAAATATGTAATTAAAGGGTTTTTAGGATGATGTAAACATGATGTAAACAGCTGGAATTCCCTGAAATAAACTACCAGTTGGCCTGGTCCCTCATATAAACATAAAAAATACAACTGATACTAACAGTAGGTAGAGATTCGATGAAATTACACCTAAAAGGGATCTATTACAATGGAAAAACATCTGTTGCGAGTCCCTAGAAAATCTGAGATGGAACTTATGTTACATTAATGTACTATATATTTTAGAGTTCTTTTTTTATAAAGCTTATTACTATTTACTTATTCAAGATGGGTTGACCTTAATATTGGAAATGTGATTAAGAGTATATTTTTCAGAAAATTAATTTCAAAAGCCTTTCCAAAATTACAACACAGTTAAAATTTTTTTTAGTTAATGGTCAATTTGGGGATTTAGTTATTTAGAGAGTGGTACAAATATTATGGAAGATCTTTTCAACAGACTTTTAGATAAACCCCCTCGACAAAAACTGCAACGATTAACAATAACAATCGGAATTGGGATTTACGGACCAGCTGACATTTACCTAATATTATTAAATCTATTTCTTTTTTCGGTTGTATGCTCTGGCTATACTTTCTTTTCCACCTTTCTTCCTCTTCTTTCGGATTTGTTTTGCTTTTTTTCACCAGCTTGCAGTTTACGTGTTTTTCTGCCCAGTACTTCGTCCAATCGATATATCTGCATTATCGATTACACCCAGCAGTCGATCCCCATTTTGGTGTATGGTGTTCGGTGGGAGAGGGGGATTTTCCTGGGGGAGGGGGCGGAGGGATAAATAAACACAGACAGACAGACATCGATAGACGATAGATTGGCGACAGGTACTGCTTCCTCTTCTTCCTTACCCCGTTGGAATGCATATTACACACACACACTCATTGCTATGACGCACAACAACAACAACATGTTCATCAGCCAGTGTGATACACACACACGCACACAGCTGCAGTTGCACCTTACAAATGTTTTACACAAAAGAAAATTTCGAAGGCACACATACAAACAGTCATCGCTCAACGAGACACGCACACTGGCAGAGACGAACACACACGCACACACACACACACGTTTGCATATTTAGCACGCATTTGGAACTGGACGAAATGGGGAAAATATGAAAGATCCTCGCGGATATTCGGCAATCACGTTTCGGCAGCTGAAAATATTGCTTACCCGCAGACGAGAAAACGAACAAATTACTGCCCTGCTGGGTGTTTTTCCTCAAGGTTGGGGCTCTTTTTACAAATATATTCGCTGCTCTGCTCTCGGCTGCGCTGCTTTTGCTCTGCTGCTGCTTCTGCTGGTGGAGAAAAAAAAAACGGAACGGGGAAAATTTCGTCGCAGATCCGTTTTCTTTTCGCTCTTTCCTTCCACTTCTTCGTTAAATATTGCACGTCGGACGCGAGGCCTTTGCAGCTGTTTCGTACGCGCACAAACGGAACAAAAAGAGAGGAAATATATGTATTTTATTAACTAAAATAAAATGGTAGACTCCAGCAAAAATGCTTTTGCATTAGTCTGGTGTGTAGAGTAGTGGTGGAGAGACATCGATGCCAACATCGATGTTTTCACACTATCGATAGCCTCGATGTTTGGTGGGGAAATCATCGGTGTTTTTCAAAGTTTATTTTACTATTTATTACAAGGCTAAACAAATTACATTTAACATAACATACACACACATTTTCTTGAATTTTTTTTGGCAATTCAGCTAGTGAGATGATAAAATGAATTTACATATATAAATTATTAATTATAATAAATTATTCATAAAATACGTTTTTGCCAGTAAGAGAGGTCTTTTGGAAATTCTTATTGAAAATGACTATAGGGGGATTCCCTAAACTGTTGAATTGCTGAATTGTTGAATTTTGGTCAGCTGTTAATCAGCTGTTCCATACAAAGTCAACTTTCAGAAATTTCAGCAATTCAACAGCCTCGGGGCTGCTGAAAATTTTGTTGAATTGCTGAAAAGCCAGAGTTGTCACCTTTTTTTAAAAGTCGTGGCAACTCTGTAACATTTTAGTATCACCAGTACGCATTATTTATTTTAAAATCAACTTAGAAAGCCTATTTGTGGTTCTTTTTACCTTAATAACACTTTTAGACAGTAACTAGCAATAATAAATCAAATTTTACATGCTTTAAGTTCCGTGAAATTTTTCAACAAATAACAGCTGTTTGAAAATTCAACAGGAACCATTTTGAGTCGTTCCCTTAATTGCTGAAATTTTTTGTTGAATTTTCAACAATTCAGCAATTCAACAGTTTAGGGAATCCCCCTTATTTAATATTGTATTTTTATTTCAAACATCGATGATTTTCTTGGCAATATGCGATAGTTTGCTACCAGATCTATCGATTGTCGTGTTACTGCGCGCCGCTTTTCAGCACTGTTCCGTTGCCGCTATTTTCAAATAGGCAAATACTTTTATTGTATTTCCAATAGCATTTTTGCACTGTCTGAGACTTTAGGTAAAATCAAAGACATTTTCCCTAACCATTTCAATACGAATTTCCTATATCCAAAAACCCAAAGTATAATCCAATAAGACGCCATAGTGCCTGTTTTTTGGTCTATATATTTTTATTAAAAACAGTTTTTTTTGTTGGTTTTTCTCTTTCAGTTTTTTTGTTTTTGTTTTTGTGAATTTTCGGTTTTTGTTGTTTTTTTTTGTTGGTTTTCGGTTTTTGTAAATAACGTGACGACTTGAAAACAGAAATTAAATAAGTGTACTTTACTCGTAATGTAGTAGAAAGTGTTATAAAAGCAATATTACAATAACTGTGGTAGAATTGGCTCCTAAAATAGATATTTTACAACTGATACCACTTCTTGTCTTTATATTTAAGCATTAATTGATGCGCAGTGCCGCTGAAATCTTGAGCAGTGTTGGCCATGCGCTCGGCGCGCTCCTCCAGCAAATTGAGCTTCTCGCCGCGCTCCATGGCCAGCTGGTGCGCCCGGCTGATCTCCGATGCGGCGGTGGAAGCCCTCGCGCCGAGCTGCTCCAAATTGGCCCCGGGTATGTGCCGGGCCACCGATCGGTTCGGCTTCCCGCTCTGCTCGCCAACTGCAGGGATTAAATGGGAAAAGTATTATTATTACTTGTATTTAAAAGTCACAAAGCTCTACTTACATAGCTCCTCGCGATCCAGGAGCTTGGCGCCGCCGCCAAAAAGACCCTTGAAGAAACCCTCCTTCGGCTGTTCGGGCATTTCGTGTACCGTATATAGTTCACCCATCATCTCCAAAATAAATTGACTAGAAATATTGAAGCGAATTTGAATTAGTATCATATACGAAAACTTGAATAATTAATAAAATATGAAACAATTTAATTCGGCTTATAATAACTAAGTTTACTAGAATTTTGAGATAAACATTTTCCTAAGGCTTACCAAAATTCCGATGATATCGTGAATTTTTGAATTTCGGTGGGCGATGCCATGTACAATCCATGACCTTTATGACTAAAGCAAAATATTTTTGATATTCTGTGGAATAGAGAACAGCAAATGTAAAAGTCACAATCATGATTTCCAAGTTCCAGACTTACTGAGTTGTATCTTCATGAACAATGATCTGTTGACCCCATATCGAAAGCATTGGATCTACAATTCCCTGTTTACATTTTGTTTGAAAACTAAGCAGAACAGAACGAGAACATTAGTCCGTGGCAATGAAATATAAAGAAATGAGTTCAGATCACCTTAGTTCCATAAGCGGTAAGAAATCAGTATCCAGTAACAGTTTTAGACTAGGAAGACTATGTACCATTAGATGGCCATTCGAAAGATAGGTTGCTAAGCAAGAGCCATCTGAAAATGGAAGGAATGTGGGTTAATTGAATTATTTGATCATGTTGATGAATATAGATAGGAATAAATTTCAATTTCAAATGTATTATAATTACTTAATCCTAGTAAACTAAATATTCTGTTCTTATTATTAAAATATAATATTTGCATTAATAGGCCTTCAAATACCTTTCATCGTGATAGTTTCTGCCTTGACTGCAAAATCCATTTCCGATAATTGTATGCGGTTGATGCAGCACTGGTTGGCCACATCGAAGACTTTTGTTTGCTTCTCGCTAGCGATAACGATGTATTGTCGATCGGTGAGAGTTTCCAGGCCGGTGCTCACGCTTCCGCTGATGCCGCTGCTGCTGGCGCTGCTGCTGCTCATCCCGCCGCCGCCGCCGCCGGTTGCTCCGGCACCACTGCCGCCGGCCGCTCCAGCCGATGCCCCACCAGCTGCACCACCAGCTGCTCCGCCAGCAGCTGATCCTCCACTCGCCGCACCACCGGCAGCACCACCAGCACCGCCGACTGCTCCGCCGGAGGACGCAGCACCCGCCATGCCGCCAGCGACCGAGGTGTTTGATATTGTATTGGCAGTTGTCGGTGCGAATGTGGGACTGGTGCGGCTGCTGCTCTTTGTGGGTGTGCCTTTAAAGGGTATTTCAAGAAGAAGATTAGTCAAGTGGATGCCCATTACATTTTGAGTGGGCCGCCCTTACGGTCTTTGTCCCCCCTTTTCTCGTCACGCCAGGTCTCAAACGTATAGGGTATGATCGAGCCGTATGAGTCTAAAAAAGACATGGAAGTTATGGATCCTTTGAGTCGTACCACGGGGCCACCTGGAAAGTTAATAAGCGCATAATATATCATTATGGATTTGTAATATAATCATTTTAAATGTTTAAACAAATTGATTCACGGCTTCTCCAATTGAAATATAGCTCTATTTAACTAGTTGTTAAATTATTCAAAGAGTTCTGAAAAAATGCACGATTTTTTTCCATTGTTACGTCCAAAAAACTGATATTTTAGGGTGAAAAACATGGATTCGAATTTTCAACGAAAATAGTCCTTTTTCTTTGGTTTTTGAGTCGTAGCTTGGACAATTCAAGGCCTACAGCTAAAAGACCGACTGTTTTGAACAGCTAACGACCTATGCTAACGAATCCCATCACTTTCTTTTTTTTTTTTTTTACCAATTTTCACGTTTTTGATAAGGGGTTACATCACATTTTTTTGCAAAAAATGACAAAATTTAAAAATTTCTAGGTTTTAATGCCAATCGTTAGGGAATTAAATCACGAGTTCAACAAAGTATGACATTCCATATTTGGATCATTATTTCCATTGTTACGACCAAAAAACTGACATTTTAGGGTGAAAAATATGGATTCAAATTTTCGACAAAAATAGTCCTTTGAATACACATATTTTAAAATGCCGTAAAGTCTAGGTACTTCCAAAGACACTTACCATTTATTGTTATCAATACTGGCTGAGATTTGCGCACATCTCGCTCCGGCATGGTGATGAACAATGTCAGTATCGAACCGAAACTAGTTCCAATCCACAAAGTAGGAACAAGTGTCAAAATATCTGCATTGAAAATATATACATTTAGATAAAAATTAGTATAAATTGAGTAACCAATCGATCTTACCATTTCGTTTTGCATAACTCTCGATAAAAGCTAAACAGGTAACAGATTCAGAGGAAGACATATCAATGCTGGACATTGACGATGATCTGGATCTTGAGAAAGTTCCATCCAATTTATCTGTAATTTATTCGGGTTTGGTTTTGGGGATCAGAAATTGGTTTTTTGATGGATGGCAGATACAGATAGGAGAAAGAGAGAGAGTTAAATAAACGAGTTACATCAAAATCGTTAAATATTTTAATAAATATTGTGAAACAGAGACAGGCGGATATAGAAATAGAGAGAGATAGAGTGATAAAGAGAGAGAGATAGAGAGAGAGAGAGAGTAAAAGCGGCGGGCGGTAGTAAGCAAAACTTTTGCTTAGATATTTAATCGAATTTTGCTTTATTTTCTAATTGAATTATTATAATTGCGATTTTTGCACTATGTTGTTTTTGCGCTGGACAACACTAAAATTACCGCTAGGCTGCCTAATTATTGTTACTTGCTCTATGTGTGGTTTGCATGTTTATGTGTGTGTGTTTTTTTTAATGTTTTTAGCCGCTCGCACGATTTAAATATTCCTATCATGGGATTACCAAAGCAACTAAAAAGTATTGATGGACTTTAAAAATGATTAAAGTCAAAAATATATGCAATTATTTCCATTTATAAATTTGTAAATTGACCTCATTATAAATATACTAAGCATGTTATTTTGAATTCATTTGCAATTATGGTAAAAAACATTGTTCATCTGTTGATGATTTGATTTTACTTCAATATCAATATTTTACATTTATGTGAATAAGTGATTTTATTGTTCTATATTAAAATAATATATATTGCTTTGAAAAGTGCTTTAAAAATAATATATTCAATATAAACATTTGGTATATGTACAATATTATTTTCAGAACTTTATATGCCCAAAAAAATCATTTTGACTTATTTATATAGTTTGAAATAAAATAATCCCAGTTCAAGTTTTTACATCTGCGAGCGACTTTTATATTTTTTTTTATTTTTCCATTAGTTTTTTAATTTTTTTTGCTGTGAGTGCAATTTCGAAAGCAGCAGGCGTCTGACTAGGAAACAAA